GCCACAAAGTCGGAAAAATTTTTGATTTTCCGGCGATTTTTAGGGTAAATGTGGTCATTCGATTATGTACGGCATCAGTTCCATACAGTTTCAATACCTCTTCTAATCCATAATGTCACAACGCCGTACAAAAAATCATGCGACAAGGGGAAGAAATCGAGGGTTGCAACCCCCTCTCTTTCCGTGGTCCGGGGGATGATGTGAAAAAGTACGGCATCGGTTCCAAAATATTATCCAGCACTCAAAAGTACTATTAAAATTAACGCCGTCAAAAAATTATTGTTCATTTGAATGTATATCAATAATTATCTTAATTTCCTTGTATAGTTGATTTATAAAGCTGGAAGGTAATTTGATCATGTACGGCAACTTTTATTTCAACATGATATTGTTAAATACAATTGTTATATAATATTGCCGTTCAAAAGAAACTGTTCTAAAAAAAATTATACAGAAATACAGAAAATGAATTTTTTTAAATTATTTCAAAAGTTTCAATAATCATAGATGAAGGAAATTTTGTAATTTTGTACATATTATCGGGGTTTTAAATAGTATTCAGGTAAGTAATTCAGAAAAAAATTATGCCGTACATTTTAATGCAAACCATATTTTCAGGCTGTTGAAAATGACACTACCATTTCAGGGGTACTTTATGGTCATCTGATACTATACGGCATTCACATATTTTGAAAGAGAACAATTGATAATATGCATCAATCATTATGCCGTCTATCTGAAATACAACGGTGGGTATATTATATTCAAGAATTGAAAACTGTGAATGTCAGTATGAACAGTTTTGTATACTTTTTGACGTAATATATATTTCAAACATTAATAGAATTTGTTTAATCGTGTAAAAAAAAAGTACTACAATTTTATAGAAAAATAAAAGCCTGGCGAGCTCCAAACGTCGTGACTCGCCACGCAATCCCCGCTCTCCACAGTCCGCGCGCCATCGAACTATCAAGGGCGTACACTGTTGGCAGTAGTAGGCCGGGCGGACGCACGTATTCGGTAATTTTTACCAATTATTATCTCGTTAACTATTACGAAAATTACAAAACGGTAGAGGACTTTTCGACTCAGTTCAGTCCGCTCTACCTGTTCGTGTAATTTTTGACACTCATTCTGGGACACCTTGTATAATAAATATATATACAGGGTGTTTGAAATTAACCGCCAAATATTTCGTGTGTGGGTAGAACAGACTATACTAAATCGAAAAGTCCTGTACCATTTTGCGATTGCAATAATAGTTAACGAGATATTAATTTATAAATATATTTAAATTCGCCCGACCTACCGTCAAATGCAAGCGCGCGGCTGGATAGGACCGCCCTGCAAAGCGCGCCGCTAGCGTTCGCCGTCACTAGGCACGCGACTCATGTCTAGCGACGAACTATTTCTACTTATCATATATGTAATACTACTATATATATGGCTAATGGGGCGTGGTTTGCGATCGAAACACTACGGTGCCGCCAATGCTAATTCTGTCCTTATTTATGTTCAGTTTGTTGTAACGCGCAGGCGTCAATTTGTTGCGCGATACACTTATGTAGCACTCTACATGTGATATTTTGTAGGTTATTACAATCAGTGATTCCAGTAATTTCAATGAATTAAAGATTGATTTTGCTCACTATTATGTAAAAACATTTTGGGATTTGTCACCGTTTGTGAAGAATGTCGTATTGTATATAGCAG